TATGTTTGCTTATTTAATAGTAGTAGAGATTGATAACACAGTTTAGATTTGTTGACTTTGGAGAGCAAAGTCATGTCTACAGTAGCCTGACTGTGTCTCTGCATCCATCAGGTTAAAACCTAGCAACCCAGATCAATTTTACTGTACATGAAGTCAGGAATCACCGCAATGTAGTATTTTGTACTGCAGCACAGTACTGTATATATGCCCTGTAGCATCTAATCAGGTGGTTCACAAAGAGCAGAGTCAGCAATATTGTAGCTTCTCAAAGCCAGCTAATCCTGAGGGTTCAACATGATGCTCAAATCCTCACGATTATTTGCTCTTGTGATGCTATCCTAAATGTGTTTCTCTTTTTCATGTGCGCTCCGCACCGCACAGTACATGGAAAGAGGAGTGTTGCGGAATTAGACAGTCGACTATTTGTCCCTTGCATCATCTAACAAGGGATAATTAGCAACGAACCTTGCAGATGATGTGGGTCGCCGTCTCGCTCATCACCGCCGGACCGCGCCGCATGCCGACTTGCCGCCCCCATCAGCTGAACGTGAACGTGCCTGTGCTCCGTCCGGGCCCCGCTCGGCAGAGGAACCGACGACGGGAGGGAAGATCGGGGAACCAGCTAGCTCGTGGGCGCCAGCTACTCGAACTCGACCCCTCGTCGTTCAAGCTGGGCCACTCGGACCGCTGCTGGCCGCGAGCCTCCTTCAGTCACAGCCGCTGGGGCCACGGCACACAGTTCTTGATTGTTTATCAGTCATCCACCTCTCTGTTTCGTAAATGGACCAACGGCGGAATCGTGTAGCCTCCATGCAAATGCTTAGTCACGGGTGGCCATTGCTAAGGAGATGAACGCCTGAACCCATCTGGGCGTTGGGTTGCTAGTGATGAAGGCCAGTCCATGGAAGGAAACTGCAGCTAAAGGCGACCTCGGTCCTCGGAGTTGTCTGGATTGGACATACGCGGGGTCGTCGCTCGTCGTCCGGTTTGGTTATCCAGATTCCAGAACATGTACACGTCGGCGCGCATGTGCTTGTGTTTGGTTCCATCGATGAGACCGGAGGTGGGGTCCATACGTGGTAACGTGAACTTGCGCCACATGCGCACAGTTCCCCATGCTAACTGATTTCAAGCCGGAGAATGGCTGATCGGTGAATCAAAAGCATGGACGGTCGGTCGCTTTCAGATAAAGAGGAAGTCTACGACCGGCTTGTCGGTTGTCACGGAGTGTACGTGGACTCTGTTTTCCTCTTTCCATCAGTATCTTGTTAACATTTGCTTTGTTAAGTCCTTTTATAATCCTTCTTAATAAACTTTTAGGCTTTACGACCTATAGAAGACAAAAGTTAATACCAGCGACTAACAATTATACTAACATTTTCCCTTTTCCTGGACCGTTTCTCCCTAAACCCAGGGAGAGACGATATCTGGGCGCATCATGCTGCTCCCTCTTCTTCGTCAGTAAGCGCACCCCCCCCCCCCCTTTTCTTTGTTGATTCTGCTAATGTTGGTTCTGTTGTTCACTATTTTCAATCGTATTGTGTTTTGTGGTAGGTACGATGGCTGTCTCTCGTCTCAACTTTAGGGTGATTTTGCTTATCCAAAAGTTAAATGGCCATTATTAGCAAAAGATAACATGACCCTTTTTTTTCCCGGAAACCCTTGGAGCCCCTGGTGACTAGAGTTTTGCGGACCTGACGGCGCCCGTGGATCAGATCGGCGGGGCGCACCGGACTTCTGCCGGCCGGAGATGGCGACACCCTCCGGCAGCGGCGGCGCGGCGGCGGAGGGGTGCCTTGTCGCTCAAGTCAGCCAGGGCGCGCCTAGAGGAACGGCTGGGGAAACTCGACATCTCAGAGGAGGAGGCGACGCCATTGGTTCTAGGGTCATTTTTTACACTATTAGGGTCGTTTTTTACACTATCATGTTTTATTTTGTCTTACATCGACCTTTTCTTACATGGTTGACAAATTATTTACTATTGAGCATTGTTTATGTGGTTTCCAAAAATAAAATTAAAGCACGGCGCAGATGCAAGCGCTCTCTATCGATGGGAACATCACGTCCCAATGAAATAATATTTCGCCTTTATGAGACATATAGGTGTCAAACCAATGATTTTATCCTTGATGGGCTACGGTACAACCACCCTCCTAACCATCCAACCCAAATTTGCTTCTCATTTCCTAGTTATTTACTAATAGATTATTTATCTACTGGATAAAAATTTACACGGCTCATCGTTACACGATGAATACCTGGTAGGCTGACAAATTCTGTTGAGCACAGTTTTTTAAGAGGTCTATTTCTAAGGCTAACATTACGCCATTTTCCCGGTAGCCCAATTTTCTTGCTTGCCACCTAGCTCTCTTCTAAGCTCACTTGGGTAGAGGCACTGATACTCCTATATTCCCTATAGTAAAATTCAGCTTCTCAACTTCCCCGTAAAAACCTGGCTTGGGTTATGTCACTTGAATCTGATCATATGTACAACAACCACCTCTATCTATGCAGATTCTTGTGGAACCCTATCATCTCGACATGTCATGTCATAAGAAGCATATTGCAACTTCGATAATATGGCTCCCATTTTGGGTTCCTTCTCTAGGATGGAAAATATATGTGTTATGTTTGTAAGTTCACACTATGGTCGTGAAGGTGTTGTTATGGAACCATCAGTTCATTGGTGTCATTCCATTTGGCGGGGTGGGGGGTGTCACACTTCTTTCAGGTTGATTCCAGTCGGCTGAAAGATCGAACGTGGCCATCTGTTTCACGTTTTTCTTTGGATTGATGAAACTCTTTTTCCGTAGATATTACTGTGAATTGCCCCGGCCCCGGGCGTGGAAAGATCAAAGAGACCAACGGCCGATAGAAAGTTGGGACGTTCATGGCTCTAGACAGTGTGCATTATAAACTGTTGTACTAGCAGTGAGCACAAGTTTTGTGATTTATCCGAACGAGCGAGAAATAGTACTACTTTGATTGTGCCTTGATTGTTATGGCGCCCCTGCTTTTGGGTGCATCCGTGCATGCATATGAAGCATCGCATGCACGGGCGCGTCATGATCTCCTGCGCATCCGGCTTCCATTGATTCCGGTCGGCCGAACGATCAAACGTAGCTGTCTGTTTCGCTCTTTTTTTCTTTCTTTTTTGAGTTAATTGTACAGAAGTACCACAATTGGGGCATTGGAAGCAGATTGATACCAAGTTTGGTAATTTTTACGGGTCAGTACCAAGTCTGGGGCTAGCCGTTACAAAAATCTAAATCGCGTATAAACACGTATTGACGGTGTATTTGACTGGCAGGGCCCGC